GAAGAGCGGCGCTCCCGCACCCCAAAGCCAATTAAAATACCTGGATGCATGCTCCCACCCAGCAGAATTGTGGAGCTTAGATTCTGGCCTTTCGTACTTCATAAATCACACACATTTTTCTTTTCCAGTAGGCTGTTGTATTTACTTTTGCACAATTGCAGGTACCGTATTGTTTAAGCTCTATTGTATTTCTTGATACTTCTGAATTTCAATCTTTATTCACGTGAAAAGTAAGAATGTATTTTCAAATAGCTTCCGGACATCCTCTCCTAAGATTTCATAGGCACTTCATTGGTCGACATGCTCACCTGTCATATATGTCACATGGGAAGAAACTCACAGTATCCTTACTGTACCTGCCAATGTGATTCTACATCTTGCTTATCCTATTGCCTATGAACATACCTTCTGCAGTACCATCTCAACCCACTCAAGTGGTGGAAACCAGCTCTGACAAGGCCTGTCTGCTCTCCTGAAGCTGAGTCACGTTGCAGCTGAACTGCTCTTGGGGCTTGACAGATCTGCTGGAAAATGGGTTGAATGAATAGTGTGTAACAAAATCCAACAGAGAAGTAGAGGCCCTTTCCTTAATAGCTTCAGCTTAAGATAATACCACAGAAAAGGTGCTATGAGTAAATGACAGGGTGTTTTGTTTGGAGGTTTTTTGGTGTGTGTTATCTACTGTGTTGAATGTTTTGGCAGTCATGCCAGCAGTCAATCACCAGTAGGGTTAAAATGAGGGAGAAAGATTGTATGTATTCTCTTCCAAAGACCTTCTACAAAATGAGCTCCAAATATAAGGGACAGATGGCACAGCAGTTCAGGCAGAGTTGTAAATGCCCTCAGGAATCCCTTTGGCTCGATTGCCCCCAAGACATTTGAATCCCACCTACTAGCTGTGCTCAGCTTGCGTTGCTGATGGTCCAATGTCTTCCTTGTCTTCTTGTGTTTAGCTCTTGCTGACAGAGCTCAGATGCCTCGTATGCGGCTTCAGTGTGCTTCTCTCTCAAGCACTCTTCAAAGCTCCCTGCCTTCTGTCTCCAGTACAACATCCTGAACTCCACAGAAGAGTGTTACTGCCCCTTTCCACAACACTTTGTTCTGTGATTAATTTATTAATGATGTTGACTCTTAAGGTATAAGCCCTGAGCTTTTCGGATAACAATTCACTGAATTGCACAAGGCAGTTCAGACCTCCTAAAGCTGTTGTTTTAGCTCAACAAACTTCAGGGGTTGCTTTTGCATGAGTTATATTGCACCGATGCTCAGGAGATCTGGGCTTCTGCCTGAACTCTGAACAGTAACTCACACCATTACTTTAAAGAAGTCACGTCAGGTTTTGCTTTCTCAGTTTCCCCTTGGAGGTAGTTTGCAGGTTTGGGGTAGTTTTTATAAAGAATATCAGAAGAGTTCAGAATTTTAATTAAAATATACTTATTAAACTAGCGCCTCAGCTAATTTAAACTCAGATTCAGCAGTTTACACCATCTGGGCTCTGACCCAGGTAGTCTACCTAAACTGAATCATCCCAAACATAAAGAACATATGTTTCCAGTCTCTCCTCTGTCCTTGGCTGCAGAGGCAGGTTTTGCTGTCCTCTTACTCTGGAGAGAGGGTTGTCTGCCTGTCAGCACACAAATTGTCTCCTGTAAAACAGAGAACACAAGATGGAAGGGAAGAGATACTCACTTGCATCCCCATTTGGTTTGTCTTTAGTGCATCATCAGTCATATTTTTATATGCTGCTGCTTTCCTGAAGCTGTCAAACCTTGCCCAAATTGTTATTGGGTGTTTATAGCCCTTAATGAAATGGCCAACAAGTCCAAGGACTTCAACAATGAGAGACATAGTGGAGGAAAGGTTGAGAAAGGAAGATAAATGCAGCCAGAGTTGGACAACTTGTACAGCCTTTAGCTGATGCTCTCCGTGGCAGAGGTCTTGGCATTCTTCTGAGGCAGTTTATGACCCATCGTCTCCCACACGCATTGAGGGGCTTTCACAGAGCAGGCTGAACTGATTCTCTGTGGCTTGTGAAGTGCATGTTTAAGGCAGTTTCTCTTTGTTGTTTGCAAACATGGTTTTGCCATTATGGCAGATGTGAGGTGGGAAATGTGAAAAGGCTTCTGGGGGCTGTTTGTGTTGATGGTTTTCTTCTGTGCTCTTTC